AGACAAAGTCTCATTATGTCACCCTCGGTAGAGTGTCATCACGTCACAGCTCACAGCAACCTCAAATTCTTGGGCTTAAGTGATTCTCTTGCCTCAGCCTCCCAAATAGCTGGGACTACAGGTGCCTGCCACAATGCCGGCTATTTTTGTTTTGTTTTGTTTTAGCAGGCCCAGGCTGGGCCCTTCACCCCTGGTGCATGTGGCCGGCCCTGTAATCACTATGCTATGGCAGCCAAGCCTTCAAATATCATCTTAAACTTTCTTTCCTGGAGTAAAACTAACCTGACACGTTAGTCTCTGTTAGGTTCCTACAGATGCTCTCATAGCACTCTGTACTTATCCTCTCATAACCCACATTGAATTTATAATTCTTAGAAATGGAATGTCTGGGCCGGGCATGGTGGCTCACACCTGTAATTCTAATACTCTGGGAGGCCAAGGCAGGTGGACTGCCTGAGCCCATGGGTTTGAGACCAGCCTGAGCAAGAGCAAGACCTCATCTCTTAAAAAAAAAAAAAACCTCAGCAATGTGGCGGGCGCCTGTGGGTCCCAGCTACTCGGGAGGCTGAAGCAAGGGAATCGTTTGAGCCCAAGAGTTTGAGATTGCTGTGAGCTGTGACGCCATGGCACTCTACTGAGGGTGACAAAGTGAGACTCTGTCTAAAAACAAAAACAACAAAGAAATGGAATGTCTGTTTTCCTTGCCAGAGCATAAGTCTTATTAGGGTAGAAATCATGTTTGTGTTATTTACTATCTAATATTCCCAGTGCTCAGTTTAGTATAGTACTTAGCACATAGTAAACACACAATAAATACTTGCTGATTGAACCTGTGCAGACATTGTAGCTGTTCAGAATGTTTTTTTACTATCTTTAACTCTAGTTAAATCCTACATATTCTTCAAAAAATGCTAAACATCTCTGTCCAGTCTCACCTGCGCATACACAACACCTGCCTGTTCTTACTGCACAGACACCTGTTACTGCAATGATTACATGGTCTAATACCTAGCTTCATGTCTCAGTCTCCACCAGACTGTAAACTCCCCGAGGGGACAGACCATGTCTTGTTCACCTGTGTATCTCTAGTGCTTAGGAAAGTACCTGACATTGATAGTGGTTTTCCATCAATGTTTATGGGCAATATTAAACCTGAGACTGTTCTCTAAGATTATGCTAAAAAGTTTTTCTTTTAATATCAGATCTGGATCGCAATTCTAGCTCTGCTAATCGTTAGCTGCATGATCACTGACAAGTTGTTTAACGTCTTTGGGCCTCAGTTTTTGCGCTAGTGAAAAAGGGCTAATAATACCTATTTGGAAATATTGCTATGAAAATTAAACAAAATGACATAGTATGACAATTATCACACACAGGGCCTGGCATGCAGTAGCCTTCTTTGTTTTCAACTTGATAGAGATGACCAGGACAAAACAAATACAAAAATAAGTCAGAGCAATCAAGGGAGACTGAGATGGAGTGAGTCATTCCTTTTAATCATATGCCCAGAAAGATCAACAATGAAGAAACAAAATAAGCAGAATAAACTCTACCGGTGGCATCTCCCTCAGCACGCACAGCTTGTTGAGAATTCACTCCAGAATCCTCTTGGCTAATGGCCACATCCGGCTCCCCAGCCCCGCAGGTCAGATCTTAATCTGCAGTACTAGGGATGGTTAATTTACACTGGAACAGAAACTACCTAAAGAACATGTTTACAGGCAGGAGAAGGAGAAGAACTTGACTGCAGCCACACGAAATCAACTGCTTTGCAATCTGGCAGAAAACACTGCAGAACCGTTGGTGGAGACTAATACCCACCCACACAACTGCACTTACCTGTGACCCCAAACCAGCTTGGACTATAGCAGCTTTCCACCAGTACCAAAACAATGGTCAGGCCTGCATGCAGTGAAGATCTCTAAGGTCAAATGACCCATATACATACAGGCAGCACCAACTGAGATGACACCAAGCAGCTTACACATACACTTCTCAGCCTATGGGCACTGCTCACAAGCATCAGCTTCATTCCTCGTGTATGCCGAACCTCAGAGCAGATTCAGCGGTTTCTTCCCTCCTTATTCGGGACATGCTTACCTCTGCAGAGCCACTGGTAGTCAGGTCCCCTAGTTCCTTGGGGTTGTTCTCTTTAGAATGCTGTGTTGTGGCTATCGCTGCATGTGTTTCTTCGGGGGGACTACCTCTCTTCTGGAGTTTCCTGATTATGCTCCTCTGCCCACTGGAAGACACAGCAGGTCTGAGTGGAGTGCTCGATGGGCTCTGCCTCCTCCAAAATGCCCTGCTCCAACCTAACCCCAGAAGATGTGGTACGCCATCTTCAGGAGGAAAGCCCAAAACGTCTGCAGCTGGGAACTTTCTAAGAAACACCAGCACAGAGTTGGCAGAGTCTGTCCTAAAAGCACGGCAGCTCTGGGGCCTGCTACAGTCTGCCTGAATGCACATCCCTTCTAGCCACCAGAAGGCATGGCAGGCGGAGTCCTGGCAGCAGGCAGTCCAGCAGGACTGGAGAGAGGGCGTTCCTTCAAGAAGCCGGAGGTGAGTGTCTCCCCCAGATCTCAGGCCAACTCCAAACTGTGACTTCCCCTGCGGGCACCTGCTCTCGCTGGCATCTAAAAACAAAGAATGAAAATGTTTTTCAGAGGAAATCAAAACAAAAGACTGCTGCTTCATAAAGAGCCCTGAACACCAATGTCTGAGGGTGAGATAGCTATCTAGGGAGTTGAACAGAGCAAACAAGATAGTGTTTTTTGGTCCAGGATATTTTAGCTTATAGAAGTTACTGCTACATATCCATCAGTGGTTCCCCTTCTCAGTGAGTTCCTATTACACAGAACCTTTCCATATAATTCCAATTCATGAAACAGAAATTTCATGAATTGGAATTGAAATTTTTAAAAGGAGGTATTCTGATAGAAGAATATGAGGGAAGTGGGGGGAATAGAGTCTCAACACTCAACCGTTCACTCACTTCGAAGGCATTTATTTCTCAGGAACAATGTGAGGACTAGAAGACTGTGGGACCACAAGAGGTAGCTGGATAAGCTGGAATATTCCCCCCACTGAACTGGCAGCAACCAGACTGAGTATTCGTAACCTCATTCAGATTATAGGTACATCCCTTTTTTTTTTTTTAAAGATGGGGGTCTCACTATCTTGTCCAGGTGGATCTTGAACTTTTGGCCTCCAATGATCTTCCATTGGATCCCAAAGTGCTGGGATTATAGGCATAAACCACTAAGCATGGCCTATTTTCTATATAATGATTTGCAAAAGTCAGGTGGTTTTGCATATAGCAGTTATCAGCCAGAGTAGTAGTTAAGATTACCAAAATTCTCATGATGAGTAGATTCTGCTATAAGGAACTTCCTAACAACAAGCCATGTCATGACAAAAAATAATGGAACAGAAGTACAACAATGACCTACTGTGGGTAACCTAGATAAGATGGTCCAATATTCCAGCTCATGTTGCTTGTGGATAAACTAAGCTGTTGAATTATCTCAGGCACAGCACTGATTTTCCTAAAATATTTTATCACCATTGTTTTCTTAGCTGAAGTAAAAACATGTTTTCAACAAAAGTTGTTATATGGCTGGCCAGAAGGTCGTGAGATATCTCACTTGATTATTCACGGTTGGTTACAGATTGAACTCCTTGTTCCATTCTCCCCTCACCACTCCTCTACTGCATTTGACTAGTCCTTTTTTTTTTTTGAGACAGAGTCTCATTATGTCACCCTCAGTAGAGTGCTATGGCATCACTGCTCACAGCAACCTCAAACTCTTGAACTTAAGTTCTTGCCTCAGCCTCCTGAGTAGCTGGGACTACAGGCGCCCGCCACAACACCCAACTTTTTTTTTTTTTTGAGACAGAGCCTCAAGCTGTTCCCCTGGGTAGAGTGCCATGGCATTACAGCTCACAGCAACCTCCAACTCCTGGGCTCAAGCGAGTCTCCTGCCTCGGCCTCTCAAGTAGCTGGGACCACAGGCGCCCACCACAACGCCCGGCTATTTTTTGGTTGCAGCCATTATTGTTGTTTGGCAGTCCGGGCTGGATTCGAACCCGCCACCTTAGGTGTATGCGGCTGGCGCCTCAGCTGGTTGAGCTACAGGCGCCAAGCCTCGACTATTTTTTTGTTGCAGTTGTCGTCGTTGTTTAGCAGGTCAGGGGCAGGTTTGAACCCACCAGCCTCAGTGTATGTGGCCAGTACCCTAACCACTGAGAAACAGGTGCCAAGCCACTTGACTGGTCTTAAAAAAAAACAAAAAGAGGCCTGGCACCTGTAGCACAATGGGTATGGTGCCGGCCACATACAATGAGGCTTGCAGGTTGGAGCCCCGCTCCGGCCTGCTAAACAAACAATGACAACTGCAACCAAAAAATTGCTAGGTGTTGTGGCGGGCACCTGTAGTCCTAGCTACTCAGGAGGCTGAGGCAAGAGAATCACTTAAACCCAAGAGTTTGAGGTCACTGTGAGCTGTGATGCCACGGCACTCTACCGAGGGCAACATAGTAAGACTCTGCCTCAAAAAGAAGGAAGGTAATGGGAAGGGAAGTGGAAGGGAAGGGAGAAAGAAAGCTGTTACACAGTTCATCTTTAGGGCTTAGTTATACAGATGTCTATAACCACCTGCTGTCAGGGTTATACAGAAACAGAACCAGGGTGAAGCAAGAAAGATGCTTCAGGAACAAAACCTAAAGAGGTGCTCACTCCCAGAGTCACTAGAGTGCAGGGTTGGCTCACACAACCTTGAGAGTGAGTCCCTCTTTAAATTATGTGCTCTGGGTGCCTCTCTTTCCTCACCCTCGTCCTGGTCCTGGGTTATAACATAAAGTACATATTAGAATTACACAGAGAAAACATGCAATAGAATCAGAACACAGGAGAAATGAGTAACCATGTCTGCAGGTACATGTAACTGAAAAAAGGGCTCTGACTGACTAAAGCAACAACCTGAAAATCAGTCAAAGCCAGCCTGGCTCCCATAAAGTATTTTTTAAATGTTCTACAGACTAATGTGAACACTATTAAACTAGGAGATAAAAGGAACATAAAGACAGTTAGGAACACTCTGGAAGCAAGCATTGATACCAGCCTAACATCAGACAAAGCAATTTTGAAGGCCAGAAAAAACAGAACTTCTTTAAGAAAAGATAAATAGCCTGGGTGCCTTGGCGGCTCGGCCTATAATCCTAGCACTCTGGGAGGCCAAGAAAGAGAATGGCTTAACTATGCGAAGCCAGAGCCCAAGACCCTATCTCTACTAAACATAGAAAAGTTATCTGGGCGTGGTAGCACACTCAAGTCCCAGCTACCTGGTAGGCTGAGGCAAGAGGATTATCTTGAACCCAGGAATTTGAGGTTGCTGTGAGCTAGGCTGATGCCACGGCACACTAGCCTGGGCACCAGAGCAAGACTCTGTCTCAAAAACAAACAAAAAAGACAAACAGCACCCCTCATTTTCTTATCCATCTTCCTCCATAGCCATTAAGAGTATGAATTTTGGTAACAGCTGAGTATACAGACTGTTGAAATCAATAAAGTGTTATTCCAGTAATAACTATCAGTTACCTTTATAGCAACTATCCCTCACTCTTCTCATAACAATTCTCTCACATTTAACATGATAAGGAAGTCAACATAGGTGAAAATAACTTGCACTTTTCTGTAGGCCATTATTTCATTTTATTTTTAAAAATGCACTGAGACTTCCAATTCTGCCCTTGAAGGAGAAACTGCTATAGGAGTTGTCCTCCCACCATGAACAACTAAAAACTAGACAAAACATATAAAGCAACTGTTCTTAGACACTGGACAACAGGCAGTGCGGGACTGTGATCACTGAGAGGAAGGAAAGAAGCCAGGTGAGTCCTACCATGGCTTCCTGCGGGGCGCACACTCCAGATTGTGGCACAGCAAGGAGAAGTCAAGCAGAACAGAGCAGTAGCTGAATCAAACAGAGTTCAAGGTGGCTGTCATGGCTGGAATTTTTTTTTTTTTTTTTTTTGAGGCAGAGTCTCAACTCTGTCGCACTTGGTAGAGTACTGTGGCATCATAGCTCACAGCAATCTCAAACTCCAGGGCTCAAGCAATCCTATTGCTTCAGCCTCCCAAGTAGTTTGCACTACAAGTGCCTGCCACGTCTGGTTACTTATTCTATTTTAAGTAGAGACGGGGTCTCACGCTTGCTTAGGCTGGTATTGAACCCATGAGCTCAGGCAATCCACATGCCTCTGCCTCCCAGAGTGCTAGGATTACAGGTGTGAGCCAATGTGCCTGGCCATGGCCAGAATTTTTGCACAAAGTACCAGAAAGAGCTAAACAGAGAAAGAGCTCCAGAAATCTGGATAGTGGTAACCTTTAGTTTGGGCTAAATACCAACTTACAGAAGTGTAAGTTGAAACTGCATCAGGGAAATTAGAAAACATTTTGAACTTAATGAAAATGAAAAGTATCCTGGGCACCTCTCCCTTGTGAGAGAGAATGTGGAGGATGCTCACTTTAGTGTGGTTTGTATTAGTGAAACAGCTGAAGGATCTAAAGGCCTGTCAATATGAAAATAGTGACTGTATAATATCATGTGCCATTTGAAAAGAATGAAGTATAACTTTATATATTGCCACAGAAATATCCCTCCCCATGATATCTTGGTCCAGTTAAAAAAGCAAGTTGCAGAAAATCTATACATTACCATCTTATTACTATTACTAACAATGAAGCTATTTTCTTGTATGTCCACATATATTATCTGCATGTAGAGAGATTTAGAAAAATAAAGGACAGACTTTTGCAGTTAAAAAAAAAAGATCTATGTTTATATCATAAAAGTCTGGGGGGAAAAAAGGGTAAATTAAACCCCAAAATTAGTAGAGAAAGTAAATAATAAAGATAAGAATAGTCAAGAAAATGAAAAAAAAAAAGAGAGAAAAATCAATGAAACTAAAATGTGGTTGCTCATAAAATCAAGTCAGATCTGATAACGCTCTATTTATTCTGATCACAGAAAAAAAGAGGACAGTCACAAATTATGACCACAGCAGCTGGCATCTGTAATCCTAGCACTCTGGGAGGCCAAGGCAAGAGGATTACTTGAGCTCAGAAGTTCAAGTCCAGCCTAAGCAAAAGCAAGCCTCCATCTCTACTAAAAATAGAAGAAAAGTAGTCGGGTCTTGTGGCAGGTGCCTGTAGTCCCAGCTACTTGGGAGGCTGAGAGAGGAGGATTGCTTGAACCCAGAAGTCTGAGGTTGCTGTGAGCTAGACTGATGCCACAGCACTCTAGCCTAGACAACAGAAGGAGACTCTGTCTCCAAAAAAAAAAAAAAATCTTACAAGAAAAAAGGATGAAAGAAGGGATATCACTACAGATTCAATAAACCAGGGGCCACAAACTATGGCACAGGGGCCAACTTGGGCTGCTATCTACTTTTGTAAATAAAGTTTCATTGGAATAGAGTCATGCTCCTTTATATATGTTTTATCTGTGGCTGTGTTGCTCTGTGATACCAGAGGTTAAGTTGTAACAAAGACTGTAAAGCCTATTAAGCCTAAAATATCTTTAAGAAAAAGTCTGCCAGCCTCTGGTGGAAGATAATGTACCTTCTTTGACTT